AATTTTTTAAAGATTCATTCAAGATGGTACATGTATCAATAATTTGTTCCTTATATTACTAAGTAGTATTCCATGGTGGTGCATGTATAACAGTTTGTTTAACCATTACCCTGTTGAAGAATATCTAGACTGATCCCAATTTTTTACTGTTACAATTAAAACTAAAGTAAACTTTCATGCAGTAAATTGTCATGTTAAAATTAACATTTGGGGGCATTAATTCTGGGTCATATTATAATTATTTTACATTCCCATCAGCAATATATGAGTGATGCAATTTCTTCACATCTTTGTTGCCATTTGGTGTTGTCACCATTATTTATGTTTGCCATTTTAATGATTGTGTAGCATTTTCCCATTATGGTTTTAATTTGCATTTCTCTAGTGTCTAATGATGTTAACCATCTTTTCATATGCTTATTTACCACCTGTACATCTTCTGTGGTGAAATGTCTTTTGCTTATTTTCTAATTATATTATTTTATTTACATTTTCTAATTATATATTGATCTTAGAGAGTTTTTTATATATTCTAGATAACAGTCCTTTTTCAAATATGTTATTTGTAAGTACTTTCTCTTAGACCGTAGCTATCTTTTCCTTATCTTCACATGGGTTTTCACAGAGAAAAACGTTTTAATTTTTATGAGGTGAATTGTATCAGTTGCCCTTTTCTTATTGATTGTGCTTTTGGTGTCAAATCTAAGAACTTTTTTTATAGTCCTATATCTTGAAGATTTGTCCCTATTTTTTTAAGTTTTACATTTCCAATAAAAGACTGTGATTATTTGTTTGAGTTTTTTTTTTTTTTTTTATACAGTATGACGTTTAGCTAAAGGTTATTTTGTTGTTTTGTCTATGGATATCCAGTGGTTCCAAAATCATTTGTTGAAAATGCTATTTTTCCTCCATTGCATAGCTTTTGCACTTTTGTGAAAATACAGTTGCGCTTATTTGTGTAGGTCTATTTTGGGGTTCCTTATTCTGTTCCATTGGTCTGTATGTTTAAGCTTCTCCCAATTTCATGCCACCTTGACTACTGTAGTTAAATATATCCCACTGTATTCTTATTTCATCAAGATTTTTTTTTTAACAAATAGTTAAAAGAGGGCCTACCTCTTTCTGTATATTTTTAATAAGCTCCTATATGTCTACAAAAAACTTTCTGAGATTTTTATATGGATAACATTAAAACTATATATAAATTTGGGGAAACTCACATTTTTACTATATTGATTCTTCCAATCCATGAACATGATGATATGTTTCTTCATCTTCTTAGGTCTTCTGAGATTTCTTTTATTAACATTTGGTAATTTTCAGCAATAAGATTCTGTACATGATTTAGTAAGTTACTACCTAAATATTTTCTTTTCTTTGAATATATTTTAGAGAATATTGTTTTAATTTTGATTTTTAAAGTGTTCGTTGTTAGTGTATTTAAATACAATCCATCTTAATGTGTTAATACTGTTTCTTGTGAACTTGCTGAACTCTGTTCTAGAAATTTTTAAATTTTGTGAGGTTTTTCTTTTTTAAACATTCTTTGAGATTTTCCATGTTGTCAATCATGTCAGCTACAAATTGAGACAAATTTATTTTTTTCTTTCTCTATTATAAATAGGGGAATAAGTCTGCCTTGCGGGATCTTTAGGGATTATTTCAACATAGCCACAGAAATTACATTCAGAGAGGCATATGCAATTAAAGGATTTATGGTACAGGCCCTAGAGACAGGAGACACAGTATGGCAGGCAGGCTATATGGTAGAAGCTCCCAGAGAGTGAGCTCAACCAAGCAGATGGGGGGAGCCCAGAGAAGGGAGGCAGGAGGGTAGACAGCCAGAGAACTAGAGAACCTGTGGGTAAATGCCTTAGTTAGGGGATGGCAAGAAGGTGAACTTATGGCAGAGATCATACTGGGGGACCAGGCCACCTGGATACGGTTCTCACAGCAGCCTGTTAGGGGGAGATGTTGAAGTGTCAAGAAAATGTAAAGTTTTAAAAATTTCTGATATACTTTCCAATTTTTTTGTGTCTTTATTTACTCTTTTCACTTATTGCAGTGGCTAGAATATCTAATGCTGTGTTTAATAGGAGTGGTGAGAGCAGACATCTTTTCCTTTTTCTATAGCTTATGGGGAAGGATTCATCTTTTCATTTTGACCATTACACAAGCATTTATTTCTTTGTTCTCTTATTCTATTCCATCTGTCTTTATGCCAGTGCCACACTATTATGTTTACTGTAGCTTTGTAATGAGATTTGAAATCAAACAGTTGTGAGTATTCCAACTTTATTTTTCTTGGTTGAGATTGTTGTGGCTATTAAGAGTCCCATGAGATTGCATGTGAATTTTAGGATGGGATTTTCTATTTCTTAAAAAAATTCCATTGGGATTTTGATAGGGATTACATTAAATCTATTGATAGTTTTGGATTGTATTGACATCTTAAGTGTTCCAGTCCATGAATGTGTGGTGTCTTTTCATTTATTTGTATCTTTAAAAATATATTTCAGTAACATTTTATAATTTTAAGCATACTTTCCCCCTCCTTGGTTAAATTTATTCCTAAGTATTCTATTCCTTTGGATGCTATTGTAAGTGGAATTTTTTTTTAAATTTCCTTTTAGGTTAGTTCATTTTTAGTGTATAGAAAAGCAACTGATGTTTTCATGCTGATTTTGTGTCCTGTACCTCTCCTAAATTTGTTTATTCCACCTTTTTGTCTATGAAATCTTGTATATTTTCTATATATAATATAATGTCATCTGCAAACATAGATAATTCTAAATTTTTCTTTTCAGATTATATTCTCTTTATTTTTCTTGCCTAGTTGCTATTCCCATGACTATCAGTACTATTTTGAATAGAAGAGCCAAATAGGGATCCTTGTATTATTCCTGATCTTTAGAGGAAAAGCTTTAAGTCTTTCAGTATGGAGTATTATGTTCCCTGTGGACTTTTGTTATATGGCCTTTATTATGTTGAAGTTGTTTCATTTCTAAGGTTTTGAATGCTTTCCCATTAAAGTACCTTAATTTTTTAATGCTTTTTCTTGATCAATTGAGGTTATCTTGTTTTTTCCCCTCATTCTGTTAATGTGATGTATTATACTGATTTCTGTATGTTGAAACATTCTCACATTTCAGAAATAAATCACACTTGGTCATGGTATATAATAATCCTTTTAATATGCTATTGAATTCTGGGTTTTTTTGAGAATTTTTTACATCAGTATTCCTCAGGGATATTCATTTTCTTTTCATGTAGTCTTTGTTTTGCTTTGGTATCAGGATAATATTGGCCTCATGGGATGCCTCCAGAAGCTTCCCTCCTCTTCAGTTTTTGGAAGAGTCTAAAGAAGATTGGTGTTAATTCTCTCAGTGATCAGTGATGTTATTACTAGTGAAACAATCTGGGCTTTGTTGGGAGGTTTTTGGTTACCAGCTCAATTTCCTTGCTAGTTACAGATCTTCTCAGGTGTTCTATTTCTTCATGATTTAGTCTCTGTAGGTTGTGTGTTTCTATGAATTTGTCCATTTCATCTTGGTTATCCAATTTGTTGATATATGATTTGTCTCAGTCCATTGAGGTTGCTATACAAAATACATTAGACTGTATAATTTATACATAATAGAAATTTACTTCTTACAGTTCTTGAGGCTGGTGAGTCCCAGCTCAAGGAGCCAGTAGATTTGGTGTCTTGTAAAGACTTACTCTCTGTTTTATAGATAATACCCCCTCTTCGTGGGTTCTTATATAGCAGAAGCCAAGGAAGCTCCCTTCAATTCCTTTTATACGGGCACTAATCCTAATCGAGGGCTCTACCCTCATGACTTAATCATTTTCCAAAGGTCCATTCTCATAATACTATCACATTGACAATTAAATTTCAGTATATGAATTTGGGGGAGACACATTCAGATCATAGTACAATTATGCATAATATTCTCTTATAATTTTTCTTCTTCCTGTAAAATAAGTTGTAATGTGTTGTTTTCTTTCAATTCTGATTTTAGTTGCATCTTCTGCCTTTTTTTTCCCCTTAATCTAGGTAAGTTCTTATCAGTTTTGTTGATTTTTTTTCAAAGAACCAATTCTTGTTTTGGTTGGTTTTCAGTATTATTATGTTCTCTGTTTTGTTTATCTCTGCTCTAATATTTTTTATTTTCTTCCTCCTGCTAGATTTAAATTGTTATTTTTCTGGTGCCTTAAGTGGTAAGATAGGTTATTGATTTGAGATTGTTCTTCTTTTTTAATGTTGGCATTTATAGCTATACATTTCCTTCCTAACATTGCTTTACTTCATCCCATAAGTTTCTCTTGTGATTTCTTCTCTGACTAATTGGTTGTTTAGGGATGTGTTGTCTAATCCATATATGTGGATCCAGTTTTCCTTGGGCCATTAATTTCTAGTTAAATTCCATTGTGATTGGAAAAGATATTTTGTATGATCTCAACCCTTTGTATAAATACTCATTTCCTGGTTTTACACATACTCTATTCTAGAGAATGTTCCATGTACACTTGAGAAAAAAGTGTATTTTGCTATTGTCGGGTGGTATGTTGTATAATGTCTTTTAGGTCCAGTTGATATATAGTGTTGTTCAGGTCCACTATTTTTTGGAGCATTTCTGATTTTGGATGTTTTGATTAGAGATGCTCAACCTCTAATTAATCTTACACACTAATTAATTAATTCTTAAGCACTTCCTTAGCCGAAGTTTGTGTTTGGCCAAGTAATAAGCAGACAAATTCATCAGAGTTTATCAAAAAGTACAAAAATTCATTTTAACTGTGACAAACTAGTAATTGAGTAATACAGTAAGAGACGCATATTTCTGTTGAGTATGGTATATTGGAAAACATTTTTATAGTTATTTGTAGAAATTGTATGGAAGGGATATAATTTTATAAAATATTTGAAGAACTCTAAACCCATATGCGTCTGTATTACATTTATTTGTGGCTAACAGTTTTTTCAAATTATATTTTAGGCTAAAAATCTCATAGAGAGATTTTTTAATCAACAAGTAGAAGTTCTTGGCAGACGTGCGGAGCCATTGCCTGAAATATACTATATTGAAGGTACTCTCCAAATGGTTTGGATTAATCGTTGTTTTCCTGGTTATGGAATGAATATCCTGCAACATCCAAAATGTCCTGAGTGCTGTGGTATGTAATGAACTATGATTTATTGGAATTTTTGTTTTTGTGGGGGTTTTTTGTTTATTTGTTTGTTTTTGAGACAGAGTCTTGCTCTGTCGCCTGGACTAGAGTGCTGTGGCATCAGCTTAGCTCACAGCAACAACCTCAAACTCCTGGGCTCAAGAGATCCTCCTGCCTCAGCTTCCTGAGTAGCTGGGACTATAGGCATGTACCACCCATACCTGGCTAATTTTTTCTATTTTTAGTATAGATGGAGTCTTACTCTTGCTCAGGGTGGTCTTGAACTCCTGACCTTAAGCAGTCCTCCCCCTTGGCCTCCCAGAGTGCTAGGATTACAGGCATGAGCCACTGTGCCTGGCTGATTTGTGGTTTTATATTGATGAAAATTCACTTATTTTCATTAAGCCTAAGTGAATGCCTATCATTTATTTTTAGTGTCATTTAGGAATTTATTTAGTTTATTTGAAGTAGTGTATTTGAAAAGACTGAATATGAAAATGTAAAAGGCAAAAATCTGGCTTAATTTTGGCCTTGGTATTAATATTATAGCAAGGAGAGTTTAGGAGCATCAGGAAGTTGTCTGGGAGGAAACACCAGTTATTATGAGTAATTTAAAGTTACTTACCCTAAAAAGAGCCAAATATATCTTTTAGAATCTATTACTGATGAATTTAGCTTTGTAATGTCTAGAATAGGTATCTTTGTGACTTTCGTTTTCTTTCTGAAATAAGTATATGAATTGCTTTATTACCAGTTATTTTTTCTGACTTTTCATCCTACCGCTACAGGATTTGAGCTACTTTCTGACATTCATTCTTCTACATCTTTACCATAGAAGATAGGTCTGTAGAGGCTGTTGACTTAGGTTGAGTGGTTGAGTAGTTGAGTACAAGAATTTAGTCTTTGCATTTGCATTTCTGTTTATGGTGTTGAGTGGACCAATTAATTTTCACTCTCTCTTAATATTTTCCTGGATTGAGCTTGTGCCAATTATCCAAAGTGAGATATCACAAGATCGGAAGAATAGGCTCCCCTTGTACTCACATCAAATTGGCAATAACTGATTAACACTATGGTGCTCACATGGCAGTAATATTCTCCAGGGATTATGTGGTTGGGAGGGCTAAACTCACAACTAAAGGACATGGTGAGCATTGTGGAGGGGAAGGGCATGCCTCTAACCCTCTCTTGGGTGAGGCAAAGACATAAAGTGCAACCAAAATGTTTGTACTCTCATAATACCCTGAAATAAAAAAAAATATGTTTTTAAAAATTTATGTTAATAAGTATCACTAAATTAGTACTTGTCTTAGTCTGTTGTATGTTGCTATGAAGGAATACTTAAGACTAGTTAATTTATATAGTTAAAAAAGGGTGATTTGGCTATGGTTCTGATGGCTGAAAAGTTCAAGGTTGGACATCTGATCAAAGGCTTTGGGCTACTTCCCCTTATGGTGAAGGTGAAGGTGAGCCAGCATGGCAGGGATCACTTTGTGAGAAAGGACCTGTGAGAAAGAGGAGTTGTCAGACTCTTGTAAACAACCAGCTCTCACAGAAGCTAATAGAGTGAGAACTCACTCCTGAGGGAGGGCATTAATCTATCCATGAAGGACCTGCCCCCATGACTCAAACAGCTCCCGCTAGACTCCACTTCCCAACACCACCATACTGTGGAGGGTTAAATTCCAACATGATTTTTAGTGAGGACAATCAGTTCACATCCATGCCATGGCAATATTGTTTTCATTCAGTCTTCTGCAATTGTTCTCTCCTTTCTTCTTTCTACAGTTGAAGTTAGATTAAAAGCCTTTTCATGTAATAGAGTAGTAAATATTCTTTTCTTTTTACTTTATTTGATTTGGCCAGAGTTTGCTTTATAATTTTTAATTATTTTCTTTTTGTTTAAATACTATATGTGAAATTTGACAAAATGTACTAAAGAGATATCTTAGGAAATACAATACAAATTTAGTAAATAAAGTACTTCCAAATGCCAACTTTGTAACTATTTTGAAAATCAATGGTTATGTATATCACTCTAGAGCACAGATAAGGATGAAGAAAAGCCTAGGAATACTGAGTAAAGAAACTAGAACCTATAATTTTAACTATCTATATGCATTTATATTTTTATCCCATAAAGACTTAAGATAAACTTAAATTGTTAAAATATTTACATCTAATCAATTATAATAATTTTGAAATTTTTAAACATAACTCTTTCAAGTGAAAATGTGGTTTGGAATCTTTGAGAATTTCAAATAACTTTACTATTAAAATCTTTTTTTTTTTTGCATTTGTAAAAGTTTGCATAATAACATGATTGTGAGGTTCTCTAATTTCTCCATAATTTAATTATAACGTTCAGGTTTGATCAAGTTCATTTATTATTTTATTCCTGTCAATAGAACTCATGAGAAGTATAAAAGAAAACTTATACATAAATCTCAAAAATATTTTCTGCCTCTGAAATGCTGTTTTGTTTCCCCAAATATGTAGTCTCTGCCCATAGATACATAGGAGATACATCCATGAAACAATTTGTTTCCAAATGACATTCCAATAACATTCTTTGGCACAATACTCCACTCTCCCTTCTTTTTTCTCCCTTTAAACTATGGCAATGGTTTAAAACTCCTATGTGTATCAAAATTCCTGGAGATTTTCTCAAAATTATGTCCAATGTGTATGAACGAGACCCCAACATTTATAAGAAGCTGCCTAGGTGGTTCTGATGCACATGAAATTGTGAGACTCCTAAATGTTAGTGCTGATAAGGTAATACTTGTATAGAATGTCTGAATATTAGTATTGATAAGGCAGTACCTAGACAGGATCCCTATTATTCTACTGATTCAACAGGATATTTGCCATTAATTATTGTGGACTGAAAATATAGCTCAATAATAGTTAACACAACATTGCTTTTTTCTATAGCTTTCTTTATGAAAACGATTAGCTATCGCTTATCCAAGGCTTTTGGGAATCACTTGAAAAACAGCAGAGAGCCCTTTTATTGTGACACAGTATCTGTGTCAGTGGTCAGAAATGATTAGGTTACAAGTTCAAGTATTTTAATCATCTTGAGATGGTTTTATTAATAAAGTATACTTTTGTACTTTAAATTAATTGTGCAGTGAAAAGGAATTGTTTAATAGGTAAAGTTGTTTTTAATAAGGTCTTTTAGACTCTATAAATGTATCCTACTCAGGCATGCAACATTGAACCCTTATTTTAATTTTACATCAAAGGATGAGAAACACAAAAATGTTTGCCTGGCATTCTTTTCACTACATATATTTAAATAATTATATTATCAGTATAAAATACAACTCATCTCCTCCTTAGACCCACAAAAACATCATTCTTATTTTGGATCATTACATTTCTCGGGATACTATAAATAATTGAAAAATTGTGGCCAATAGATAGGTCATACTATGGATTAACAGTATGGGTTGCCCAAATTTTCTTTAAAAATATAAATTTAGTTCCAGTAAAAGCAGGCCATATAATTAGGACAGCTCATCTGACTGAAACTGAATGAAGCTGTCTTAAATATATTGAAGAATTGACAATATCATGAAGACTTACTGGGTCAAAATCTAAAAAAAGTAGTCTGCTGCTTCTGGCTATGGTGAAGTAGCTTAGAGCAGACAAAAGCTCTCACTGAGAAAATTAGAAGAGTCAAATACAATATAAAAATTATGCATTCTATTAAGACATCAGTGAACTGTCAGGACATAAAAATTCAAGGGGCAGCAATCCTGAATAGAAGGAAACTATGGAAATGAGTGATGGGTGCCAAAAGGTAACATGTTTATGTGCTGAAATGAAACAACTGTGGACTTAGAATGCTATACCCAGTGGAAATATTCACCACACATGACAGCAGAATAACACTTCTAGATAACAATATATATTGTCATAGGCAGATCTACACCTCAAGAAGTAATAAAGGGAACTAAATTTATATTTTTAAAGAAAATCTGGGCAACCCATACTGCTAATCCATAGTATGACCTATCTATTGGCCACAATTTTTCAATTATTTATAGTATTTTTCAGGTAGTTATAGATGAATCGAGACAAAAACATGCTCTCACAGGAAGGAATAAAGAATGATAGAAAGGAAAAACATACAGATAAATATAAATGAATATTGACTATACAAAAATACATAATGCTTTATGGGGCTTAAAAATATGTAGAACTAGAACTTGTGACATGGTTTCACCAAAAACAAGAGAAAGTTAATACAATTAAAGTATTCTAAAATTCAACCATTGTCTAGAACTGGGATAAGTAGTGATTTGTATTAGATTGTAATAAGAGACTAGGGTGTATGATGTATTCTTCAGAACAACCACTAAAACATAGTAAAATAATATTTACATAATAAGTAGATGAAAAAATTTTAACTTTCGAAAAAAACCTATTTGATTTATCCAAAAGAAGCCAAGTCTGGAAGGGGAGAAGAAAGTACAATTAGGACAAAAAATAAACCACTAAGACGATAAATTTAAATTCAGTTATATCAGCAATTGCATTTAATATAAATAGATTACCATTAAAGAGAAAAATTTTAAATTTGCATTATAAAAACACAATATTATGTCACTTACAAGAGACACATCTTTAAATATAAGAACACTAATAGTTCAAACTAAAAGGCTACAAAAATATAAGTTAAGCAAATGATAAAAAGATTTTGCTTTAAATATGCAAATAATATCAAAAGAACAACAATAAGAATAATAGAGCCTAGAAAAATAATAATAAAAAAAGCTGATGTTGACAAAACAGACTTTAAGGCAAGAAGTATTACTACTGGGTTAAACAGTGCCATTACATAATGATAAAAGGATAAGTTAGTTACTAAGGATGATGTCATAGTAATTCTACATTTGTGAGTACTTAATAACATAGGTTTAAAATTCATAAAACAAAAATTGTCAGAGGGGACCAAAAAATCACCTCTGGATGTATTATAGACCTAAATGCAT